AGAAAGCAAGCAGCTTGAAGAATAGAGTAAAACAATGCCTAATGAGTGTATTGACTGAAGGAGATACTCAATGAGTATTTGTTGTGTATATGAATGCACAGATTACCTCTGTATGCCTGTTGAACTCCTTTGGAAGTCCAACTTAAATAGCATTTCTTTCAAGAATCTCCCTAACCAGATTTGTTTTTTCTCTTTCAAGCACTTTTTATTCTTATTTGCCATTGTTTTTCTGTTGTGTTATAGCTGTCATGCCCTCATTCTTAGTCTAAAATGTAGTGGAATACAGGGATAATATTTGGATCTTTTAATATGGATTTCAGACTTATAAGCACAATCAATGTTGAGAAGATATTTTTGAAGTCAGGAATAAATGAAAATCAATCATAAGACTTGATAAATTTATTCTTTTTCTCATTATGAAATATTTAAAGCATACAGAAAAGAATCAATAATATTATACCAGTACCCATCACCAACTTAAAAAATTAATATTAAATATTAATATTAAATTAATAATGATATTAAAACATTACTATTAAATTCCTATGTGACTGCCTTTCATCCCTTTTCCCTCTTTCTTCCATGAAGCAAACATGATTCTGAGTTTAGTATTTATCATTGCTATATGCGTGTGTTTTTTTGTGCATTTACTATTACTATCTCTCTGTATATGTTCATGCGTGAGTGTGTATTTACAACACATGGTATTATTTTTGCTTGTTTTAAGTCATATATGGTATGGGTCATTTTAAAGCTACTTGTTTCCTCAACATCAAGTTTCTCAGATCATCCAGGTTGCTGCATGTAGTGTTAGAATATAGTATGTTATAGTGTTAGAATATAATAGTGAGATCATTTAGATTGCTGTGTAAATTCCTTTATATAACTATTTCACAGTTTCCTTGCCATTATATTGCTGAGAGGCATTTAATTTTCCCTTTTCACTCTTACAAATAATACCACAGTGAACATTGTTTTACATTTTCTATTGCATCTTAGGGAATTGCTCCAGGGTTTATATTGCGAAGTGGAACTTCCGGGTCAGAGACTATGAACACTAAGTATGGCATTGTGATTAAGAGCACAGGCACTGGAGCTGGGATGCTGGGTTCAAATCCCTACCCTGCCACTTGCTAGCTTTCCAGGAAGCAACAACACCAGCTATTTTCAGCTTCAGCCTCCTTTCATGAGCATGTGTGCCTTACCTCAACCCCTGGCATCAAGTAGTCAGCTTGGCTTAGTTCCTCTTGGCTCCGGCAGGATCTGTGATAGCCAATTCCCAGCTGCCACTGCCTGCTTCTGCAGCCAGACCCCAGCAGGCCTGTGGCTTCACACACAATCACCACTTTGCATTTCTGATCCATGGAGAGGTTTATTTTTGAGCTGGAGATGTTTTTATTTTCCTTTTAATATTTTATTTATCATTGCTGTGTCTAAGCAGAGTGAATACATCAAAGCATGAATTTTTCGTGTGTCACCATAACCCTGGGGTTGATAATACCTTTATGAACTTTTAAAATAAGCGCAGATATTAAAACAATCTAATCATAGAGTTTTGGCGCTGGAAGATTTTGGGGATAATTAAGGCTGATAACTTATTGTATAGGTGAGGTCTCAAGAAATTAAGTAACTTACCGATGTCACATATCTCATTGATGTGGCAGAGCCAGACCAAAGCCTGTGTGTCCCTCATAGTCCTTTTGCTACAATACACAATCACAGCTTTCTCTGTAAGATATATTTACATATGACATTGTATGTTTAACAGAACTGAAAACATATGCTAAAATTTAAGCAATTAGAGAAATGACAACATTTTTAAAGCGATATGAAATGTTTCTCTTGGAAAATATTGGGGTACGAGTAAGAAGACTATAGTATTTACTGCATTGAACTGAATACATTTTTATTAGGAGGCATAATTCCTTGGCTGCGTAGAGTCCTGCTGCATTTGGTTTCCTTGACTTTATGAAATTTATTAGGATGGGCCCGTCAATAATGGTGCTGAACATTCCAACCTTCTATAGCACTGGCCTGAAAATGAACTGTGAGAGTGAGATGGCCGGCATTTCAGTAATAGCCTATATTCGCTGTCATGCGGAAATGACAGGTAGTTTAATTAAAAAAAAAAAACAAAAACTAAGAAAAAGGAAGTATTCCTTGTAATTAGGATTTCTGGACTTTTTTAGGATATAAATTTAGAATCTGGTTTCTTGTTAAAGATTTTGGAACTGTTTTATTCTATTTCTAGATCTTTTAGCTGTGCCTAAGCATCCGTATGCTGCTATGGAGAACTGGGGACTAAGTTTTTTGTGGAACAAAGAATACTGCTGGATCCCAGTGTTCATCTATTTCTATTTGCTGGATGTCACCATGGTCATTGTTCATGAATATGTCACCAGGTTGAGAAAGAGGATCAGGTGTAAGTATAACGTGCAAGCTATTGAGAATGTAGAATAATTTCAGATACCTAGATTAAGAGCTAAATTATTATCTCCCAATTAAGTTTTAATTTTATATGGAACACTGTGTAGCTCTTTTTGGAAGATATGCTATTTTTCTCAGATGACAGCACAAACAAAAACAAAACCCAGTCATATTGAGTGAGTAACTGTATTCCGTTTAGTTGAGGATGAGGTGGCACTGCCACCAGCAGCCTCTTAGGATCCCCTATCCGGTTGCTATTATCAACCTTGCTTCGTTTCTTGTGATTATTAGTGTGTATATATGTTAAGTGCAGTGATGGCAATGATTTATTGCATTGCTGCAAGATGCAGCTGAGTTTTGTGTACGTGTCAGAATTTCTTTTGCTGAAATCATTTGTTATTCCCCTTTTCCCATCACATAGACACTTAGGAAGTCTTTCACTAACTCAGCCGTACACTCTTTGTTCTCAAATGATTGATATTTTTTTGTCTTGGCATGTTTAGAAATTCATATGTAAATTAGCCAACTTTGTAGTGAAGATAAGACAAAATTAATTTCATTTTGATTTATGCACTTCTTACAATGAGTGGAGGGTATTAGAGATTTTGCATGCCTTTCTGAATCTTGATTTTAGTGAAAAAAAATCACTGAAAATAGATGTTGATGCTAATAGAAAGCAATACCTGTCCAGGTTACTAGTAACTATGGATATTTTTAACTTAAACACCAGAAATCTCATTGTAATACAGTATGATTTCATATATTATAAACCCAAACCTTTTTAAAACCTAGAAAGACTGAAGAAAGAGCAACGTGGAAAATGCTGTCAGTGAAAGCAGGTGAACTGTTAAATGCTAATAAATAAATACTGGATGTATTGGTCCAGGTCATGAGACCACTTACCTAAAGTCAAGTTTTTGCAGAGACCCTCTAAGATGTTTGTACCTGTCATGTTGGCCAGGTTGGCCTGTTTTTTCACCTAGAGACTTAGGGAACCAATTGCAGAGATAACCTGGGCTCCACTTCTGCGCAAAGAGGATGGTTTCCACCTGAACCTATAACTCTTTGAGGCAAAAGCAGTTTCTTTTCAAACATTTCATAAATGACAAGTTAGATTATAGTTCTGTTGAAATGAAAAAAAAGCCACCCTTTTTCTGATTTTTTAAAATGCAATAAAATTTAATTGCTTTTTTCAGAAGAACTTGGGGGTTTTTTTTTTTCCCCAAATTTTGGTTTTTTCCAATAACTCCTTAAAAAAGATTCCCCACTTTCCCTTCCATTTTGGGGGTAAGCCTTTTTAGTAATCCCAGTTAGGCCCAACTTTTTTTTTCCCAGGGGGGAAAAATGACCCCCCAGGAGCTTAGGGGAAAACAAACAAAAACTTTTTTTAACATAAAAAAATTTTTTTCCTTACCAAAAAACCATCCATTAAACCAAAAAATATAAAAAAAAATTTCTTATGTTTACCCTTTCCCCCTCCCCCAAAACCTATTTTGTTTTCCCAAACCATTCATTTTGAAAGACCGGTTTTTTTTTTTTTTTTTCCAAATTTTTTTTAAGGAAGAAAAAAATGCATTTTAATAAGATAAAGCCATGGTTTTTTAAAACTTTTGTAAAATAATTTTTTTTTTTTGTGGGTTTTTATCCAACCCATATTTTTTTTTTGGGAAAGGCTAACCCTTTTTTTTTTTTTTAATTTTTTGCCATTTGGAAATGAGAGGTCCTTTCCCTTAAAAGGAAAGAAAATTACGTTTTTTTATTATTACCAGTTTTTTTTTTTGGGAAACTCTTTTGAAAAAGTCAACCAAGCTTGTTTAATGGGCCATTTTCCCCCCGAAAAGGGCTTGTAACATGGTCTTGGGGCCAAACTTTTGTCCCCCCTTTTTTTTGCCACCCCCTTTTCTTTTCTTTGGGAACCCTTCTTTTTTTTTTCAAACACTTAACCCTCCTTGGGTTCCTTTGTTTGTTTGTTCCCAAAGCTTTAACAAAACAGGCGGTTCTTTTTTTTCCTTTTGGCCTTTTCCTTTTTTAAAAATGGGCTTGATTTTCCCCCCATATTTTTATAAGTCCCCTTTCCCCAGTTAAAGGGGGTTTTAACTTTTTTTAACATTCCTTCCCCTGAAAATCCCTTTTTTTTTTTTTTTTTTTTTTTTGCCCCCAGGGGGCCTTTTTTTTTTTTTTTTTTTTTTTTCTCAAAAATTGGGCTGGAAATTTTTCTTTTTTTTTTTTCCCCACCTTTTTTTATCATGTTAAAGTTTGGAGCTTCAAATTGTTTTACCTGCTTTTTTAAAAAAGAGAGGAAACAATTTTTTTTTTTTTTTTTTTGCCTTTTTAAAAACTGTGTCCATTGATTTTTTTTTTTTTTTTGCTGAATGCATGTATAAAACACTAGTGTCACCCAAGTAATCAAATAAATCAATACAGTCCTGTCACAACACATTTTAAGATCATAAAAATCAATTGGGGAATGAATTCCAGTTATAGTAATCATAGCTTCATACACTTAATTTTAGATAAAATAGTTTAAGGATAGATTTGATTTTATTTGATGTCCATTCATTTTGTTACTGCAGTGGTTTGGTGACCTTGTGACTCCTGTGTGGTGGGAAGATGTGTGGCTGAAGGAAGGGTTTGCTCACTACTTTGAATTTGTCGGTACAGACTACCTCTACCCTGGCTGGAACATGGTAAGTTTACTTTAATTGCTTGGAACTTTTAGGAAGGGTTAATCTGATCTTACAATAAGCTTATATCATCATTAGAAGTGAGTGAAAGTACCAACTGATGCATGAAAAAAATCAGCTATCCAATAAAAAGTAACACAAAATTTAAGTGTTTGTATTCCAAAAGAGTTATTATATTTTTTATTTATTAGGAACTGATGGAGTCTGATTTGTTATACATTGACTTCAAAATGCAATAACTTTTCTAAATGGAAATATTTTAGATTGTAGTATTTTATAATAAGATAAATTATCCTTTAAAATAGAGAAGTCAATAGAGGTTGATAAGGAATATTTTAAATGTACAAAATATTTTAATACATAGAAAAATGAGAACTTGGCATCTCATCCATGAGTTAAAATACAAAAATTAGCTAAAAGATTTGTGGTTTTATTGTTGTAGATATATGTATTTTAGGATTAAAAGATTTAATAGGAGGTCATTACTTTTATTTATGAAGAACTGTGCATATTATACCTATACTTAAGAAACATCTATACATCTGCAGCTGAGTGAGGTTTATGTGCCTTAAGCTCTGATATTATAGGGTATCATAGAAGAAAGGTGTGCTTTTTGGAAGGAAGGTGTGCTTTTTGCATGTATTTTATTTCAATTTTTTCTTTTATGTACACCTTCATTGATTGGTAAGTGACTAAGTTATTATTAAATAGAAACCAAGTACATTTTGTTTTGAAATTCAAATTTTCTATTTATTTTAAGTGGTACTAGTAAGTAAAAATTGCACTGTACCAAACATTTATCAAATTCCAGGAGCTTAAATGTTATTTGTGATATAGCATAGGTGATTTATATATATGTATATATATGAAAATATATATTTACATATATTTTAAACACTTTATTGAGATATGATTGACCTACAAACACCTGTATCTATTTAATGTATACAACTTGATGAGTTTGGAGATAAGCACATACCCATGAAACCATCACCACAATCTATGCCATAAACATATCCATCCCCCACAACATTTTCCTCCCACTCTCTTTACTTATTGTTATTTTGTCATTAAAACATTTAATATAAATTCTACCCCCTTAGTGATGGTACAATATTGTTGAGTATAGGCGCTGTGCTGCACAGTGAACCTGCAGGACTTATCCATCTTGCATAACTAAAGCTTTGTATCCTTATTTAATATCTTCTTGTTTCCTCTTTCTCCCAGCTTCAACTGTCTGCTTCCACGAATTTGACTGTTTTAGATTACTCATATAAGTGGGGTTATGTGGTATTTGTCCTTCTGTGTCTAGCTTATTTCATTTTGCATAATGTCAGGTTCACCCATGTCATCACAAATGGCGGGATTTCCTGTCCCCCCCCAAGGTGGAATACTCTTTCATTGCAAGTATATAGCACATTTTCTTTATCTATTTGCCCATCAATGAATATATTACTTCCATATTTCCACATATTTTTATAGTGCTCTCTTTTGATGTTCTAAAATATTATTAATAATCAGTGTTTATTGTCTGTCATCATTCCAAGTATAATTTGAAGAGCATGTAAACCTAGATGAAATGTGAAGGCACCAGTAAGTTATCATATAACTTCTGTGCCATAAATTTAACTGGATCCTGCTGAGTGAAAAATGTAAAATTACTTAATTAACAAAAGAAATGTTACAAGAATAATGCCATATTGGTATGTTTTAATTATGTTCATGCAGTTTTGTCCATATTTTATAAAGGTAACAAATTTACAAGATAACTTAGATTTATGTATAGATTTATGTATGTATATATGTAATTTTTAAAATCCTACTTGAAGTGTTTTATTTTGATATTGAAATTAATTAAAAATGCCTTTAAAGAACATTGAAGAAAAATCAACAATAGCATGTAATATTGTTTAAAGTACTCTTTAACAGATGTGAAATTTTATAACTGAAGTGTTTTAAGGTTACCGAAACATTTCCAAAAGTATCTTTTGGTTTTTAGATGACTTTGAACCAACTTTGTTTAAATTTTTCATTTAATTTTCATTATGCTGTGGATTATTACTGATTTATAATTTCATTACGTTTCAATATTAAAAGATGTCCTTATTACAAATGACATGTTATGCATATAGGTATGCTTTTTTCTAGCTCATTCAGCTACTTGTGATAAAATCCTTTGTATTCATCATTATAAAAAATACATCTTAGATTAAAAAGTAATCAACAGAATTATACATAGGTGAAAACTGACAGCTTTTGATGGTTTTAGCATGGCAATCTATCTTCGGTTTTAATGTACTTTTTCTGGATTTTGTCTTCAAATAATTTTTTATATTTAACATTTCATCAGTTTCACTGTAAATGCAGGTCTTCTGGAGATGATTTTTGTAAGAGGTATTGAAAATGAACATAAAGTGAAAATAACACATCTGAGACCTTGTCCTGAACAGAATACAGACCATGCACTAGAAGTATAAAAACCTCGAGGTGATTAAGATGAGATTTTATTGCTTATAAATCCATATTTAATAATTAATAAATGAAAATGATGGCACAATTACAGTGATACAGAGAGCTCACCCTATCAAAGTAAGAAATGAAAGAATAATTAATTAGATAATTAATAGTGAAGAGAAACAAGTCTTACAATGATGTGTCTTCATGTTCACATTGTAAGGATTAAAAATACTTTCTGATCTTTGATTGCTTTTGCTTTTTAGTAGCTTTCTTTAGTTTGTGGAATATCCTAATATACTAAAATTCACAAAAATCTATAAGAAGAAATGCTATTAGTAAATTGACCCTCCATATGTCATTAATATTTTCTTTGCAAATAAAATTTTAAGAATAAGGTAGCCACATAAACGAGAGAGGACATTTAGTGCCTTGAAGGCTGTGCCAGCACTACTTTTCATAATGGCATCAGCAAAAGAGTGAAAGAAATACTCAAGAGAACAAGGGTGATGGCTGTGTCAGCAGTAACTCACACTATTATGATATGTACAAAAGCTTGTCCATGAGTGCATGGCTTGGGCTTCACTAGAGCTGAGCCTAAAATAGAAAAACCAGAAGTCAGGCTCATGTCAGAAGTAAAGAAATTCAGAAAGTTGACCTCTTTTGCCTCTAATCTCAAAAACAGTGCTTTTATCACTTTTACACACCAGGGCTCAAGCACTGAAATACAATTTCAATTTTCTAGAGAGATTACTATGACAATCTACCCTCCGTAGAATAGCAGTAAAGAAGCCCAGAATTACATCGTATTGTTAAGGAGCTGTTGTTCTGATTTAGGCTCATGTACCTGCTTTGCTTAAGTGTTAGTAAAATCTTAGGTTGAGTGTATGTGAGTTTTCAGAGACAGTTTCTGATAGAAAAGTAATCAGTTTTTACATTAGGAATACTGCATGCAATAAAAATTTTTGTGATAATTTTTTTCCACAACAAACTAATCAGGTTTACCATTTTATGAATATGGGCCTTTACAAGTAGTATGGTGTCATATCAGGGAAATAGATTGGAAATAAGAAATTCAGATTCCAAGAAAGATATTTCACTTCTATAACTCAACCTTATCATTTGAAAAATGGGACAATTATACTGATTTAGTAAGCTCATATAATTTTTGTGAAGATGAAATAATGTGTAAGGTCTTTGAAATGTATGAACCGCTATACAAATGTGAGCAGGCATCATGGAAAATTAATGCTCTATTAGAAAAGTGCATTGATTTTATGTATAGATACTCTAACATTTCCAACCTGAATAATCCATTTTGACACTCTAGATTTATATCAATTATATATAGATTACAAAATAAATTTTGTATCTAGATTCAGTCTCACCAAATCAATTCTTGTCTATACTGGCAACAAGAGCTATTCTATGGGAACATAAACCTTCATAATGTTTCATTCATCTAACAGAAGTGTCAAGATCATTAGAAACAACTTTCTTAGCTTAGGGCTAAAGATACATTTCATGGGGCTAGTAGTCTTTTTGCTTGATGTTATTTTATCAAAGTTGGCTGTTAGTGACAACATTATTGGATGGATTAAGTTACAGTATGCTATTGATGGCAGTCATATTAAATCTTGTTATGTTTCTTCAAAAGGGATAAAAATAAAGACTAACACAACATAGTTACTATTCATCAATAATTCTTGATCATTTTAGTTTTTTTCAAAAACTTTGAAAAAAGTTTTTGATAAAATAATTTTAATTCAGGAAAAGGTACATAGTAAAATGCTGCTATGAACAACTCCTTAATTTACAGATCTGGTACTGATGCAGGCTAAATCATACCCTGTGCAGATTGCATAGTTTTTCATTATCATTTGTATAGTCTGTATTCTAAGTGTCTTCTTCAATCTCCTGAATGTAGCATTGTGAGGAAATACTTCTGTAATGAGAATTATTAAATGTGAGTATATGCTCTTTTATTAAAGGAATTGGGATGCCACAGAGCCTTACATAACACAAACTTTATAAATTATACTTTGATTAAGTCTGAAGACTGGGAATTCTTCTTAACTTTTTGTAAGGACACATACCTGGGCATAAAGATAACTATTAATACAACTAAACTTCATTATGTTAAATACTTAAGATATTTCTAACTGTATTCCCCATACTTTGACAACTACTCTCAAATTATTTCTATCATGGGCAGTATTAAAATAGTAAAAAAATTCTACTGTTAGACTTGTATCATTTTTATCTGCTCCAACAAAAATTTCCTGTTAAAATGTGACAGACATTGGAAAACAATTATGCTCACTTTAAAAACTATTTTATTTGTATTCAAAAAGAAGTTAAGAAAATTATTGCTTCATCAAAATATAGTATATTAAATTCAATGTTTTTCAGTTTTAAGTTAAAGATACTGTTTAATAGTTCTAAATAATAGTAAACATTGTGCTATTCAGAGAGGAGAAAGTAGAAAAATAGAGAAAAAATTTGGTTTGGGTTAATATGTTACTTTTTCAGCTGTTCATTTCTTAAGT